TGGGTTCTGCTGCCCCGCGGCCCCCTGCTGGCTCTGGCTGCTGCTGCTGCTGCCACCAACACCTCCAACACCTCCAACACCTCCAGCTCCTGCACTCGCTGTGGAGCCGACGGTGGTGACCACAAGCACCGGGTCCCCACCGGCTCTGCTGTCCTGTTGTTTGGAGTCTTGGGGGTGTGGGTACCGTGGCGGGGGCCTCGTGTACCGATCCGCGGGGAGTCTAAAGAGACAGTCCACCAGTTCCACTTTAGGAGTCGGGCCCTGGCTGTCTATGACTGTGGGGCAGAGGATGCCGTTGCCGTGAAGGCCGACCAGAGGCCCCATCGCTCCCGTGACGGTGTTGATGGGTGACGAGGTCACCTCCAGAGTCCAGTCCCTGTCCTTGTCCGCTGCAGAGCAGTATCCACCCTCGCTCTGTGGCCGCTGGGTCGCCGCCTTCTCCTGGTCTTCCTTGTAGATGGTGCTACTGCACAAGTGCGGAGCGGCAGAGCAGTTTGCGCCTTTGGCCCCGGCCTCCGGGGGTAGGATGGTGTCGTAGACGTGGTTGTGTTCTGGCCCAGGTAAAGGTGGAGTCTTTGGAAGGCCGTGGTGATGGTGCTGCTGCTGGTGCTGCGGGTGATGGTGGTGGTGGTGGTGGTGATGGTGTGTCTGCTCCGTAAATATCCCACACTCCATCTGGATGCCGGCCAAATCCACCTCTCCCTGGCGACGGAAGGGCAGCTTGTCCCTCCTCCTTAGGGCGTAGGCGATTAGTGCCGCCGCTGCAAAGAACGCCGAGACAAAAAGCACCAGCAGACTGAGCACCAGCACCGACAGGGGGATTGAATCCTTCCCTGGGGGGATCACAGGGCCAATCCCTGTGCCGGGGTACTCGGCTGATATGCCTCTGTCTGCAGTGGCTGTGGAGGTGGCTGTCTGCTCCTCCTGCTGCTGCTGCTGCTCCTTTTCTTGCTCCTCCTGGGCCTCCAGCTCGGGGCACAGCAGCTCCATGGAGATGGAGCGGAGATCGACTCCCTTGGTCTTCTCCGGGGAGTGGCAGACCACCTCTCCCACCACCACCACGGCGCTGAGTCCCTCCAACCAACGCTTGAGCGGCGCTGCCTCGCAGTTGCATTCCCATGGGTTCTGCTGCAGGTCCACCTGCAGGAATACATAACAGCACGGTGGCTTGTCATTGTGTAATAGCACACTAATTACTGGTCTGTCTACCAATGCAAATACATGAATCACATTTGCGGGAATGTAAACAAAAAAACATGAGTAACTTTAAATGTCTGCTGTTGAGGAATACGGCGGTAAGCAGCACTCTAATAAGATGACAACAAGAAAAACGATGTTTCTTCTGCTACCTTTGCCGCTCACCACCAGGATGATATCGAAAATTAGTTTCTTGGCATTTGCATAATAGAACACGGCGCTCCATGATGGCTGATGTCTGGAAATGATTTTTTTTTCCTACCATGCAGGAGCTGAATAGCGCTGATTAATGTAATAATGTCATTATAGGGTCATCAGAACACTGAAGTGGTTACATTAGCTGAACGGCTGTGCACAGACATGACATATATTCCATAGTAAAAGAGTGTGAGCCGTGACCAATTTAACTTTTCCCAGCCTCAAGTGCTATCTTTGAAAAGCCGTTCACACTTATCACTGCTGCTTTAAAGAGCCGGCATGTCCAAAGTCTGGCCTAGGGGCCAAACATGGCACTTAGAGAGGTCTTATAGTGCACTCAGTCTTTTATTTTTATTATATTTTTGTGGCCTGCAATTTCAGTGTGAAATTACCTTTTATCAGGTTATTGTTGACCTGGAAGCACTGATGATGAGTCTGTTCTGTTTTAGCCAATATAAAGCTGTACATTGGGCTAGGTATTTTAAATCTATCTTGTCCGCTGCAGAGCAGTATCCACCCTCGCTCTGTGGCCGCTGGGTCGCCGCCTTCTCCTGGTCTTCCTTGTAGATGGTGCTACTGCACAAGTGCGGAGCGGCAGAGCAGTTTGCGCCTTTGGCCCCGGCCTCCGGGGGTAGGATGGTGTCGTAGACGTGGTTGTGTTCTGGCCCAGGTAAAGGTGGAGTCTTTGGAAGGCCGTGGTGATGGTGCTGCTGCTGGTGCTGCGGGTGATGGTGGTGGTGGTGGTGGTGATGGTGTGTCTGCTCCGTAAATATCCCCCACTCCCTCTGGATGCCGGCAAAATCCACCTCTCCCTGGCGACGGAAGGGCAGCTTGTCCCTCCTCCTTAGGGCGTAGGCGATTAGTGCCGCCGCTGCAAAGAACGCCGAGACAAAAAGCACCAGCAGACTGAGCACCAGCACCGACAGGGGGATTGAATCCTTCCCTGGGGGGATCACAGGGCCAATCCCTGTGCCGGGGTACTCGGCTGATATGCCTCTGTCTGCAGTGGCTGTGGAGGTGGCTGTCTGCTCCTCCTGCTGCTGCTGCTGCTCCTTTTCTTGCTCCTCCTGGGCCTCCAGCTCGGGGCACAGCAGCTCCATGGAGATGGAGCGGAGATCGACTCCCTTGGTCTTCTCCGGGGAGTGGCAGACCACCTCTCCCACCACCACCACGGCGCTGAGTCCCTCCAACCAACGCTTGAGCGGCGCTGCCTCGCAGTTGCATTCCCATGGGTTCTGCTGCAGGTCCACCTGCAGGAATACATAACAGCACGGTGGCTTGTCATTGTGTAATAGCACACTAATTACTGGTCTGTCTACCAATGCAAATACATGAATCACATTTGCGGGAATGTAAACAAAAAAACATGAGTAACTTTAAATGTCTGCTGTTGAGGAATACGGCGGTAAGCAGCACTCTAATAAGATGACAACAAGAAAAACGATGTTTCTTCTGCTACCTTTGCCGCTCACCACCAGGATGATATCGAAAATTAGTTTCTTGGCATTTGCATAATAGAACACGGCGCTCCATGATGGCTGATGTCTGGAAATGATTTTTTTTTCCTACCATGCAGGAGCTGAATAGCGCTGATTAATGTAATAATGTCATTATAGGGTCATCAGAACACTGAAGTGGTTACATTAGCTGAACGGCTGTGCACAGACATGACATATATTCCATAGTAAAAGAGTGTGAGCCGTGACCAATTTAACTTTTCCCAGCCTCAAGTGCTATCTTTGAAAAGCCGTTCACACTTATCACTGCTGCTTTAAAGAGCCGGCATGTCCAAAGTCTGGCCTAGGGGCCAAACATGGCACTTAGAGAGGTCTTATAGTGCACTCAGTCTTTTATTTTTATTATATTTTTGTGGCCTGCAATTTCAGTGTGAAATTACCTTTTATCAGGTTATTGTTGACCTGGAAGCACTGATGATGAGTCTGTTCTGTTTTAGCCAATATAAAGCTGTACATTGGGCTAGGTATTTTAAATCTATTTTTTGCTAAATGTTACATCACACTGGGATTTTTATCTGTGCAGTTAGCCTTTCTTTGCTAACTAATTCATGTTTGAGCTCAGTTCTGTGTACGTTTGCTAACTAATTCATGTTTGAGCTCATTTTTGTGTGCAAGCTTCTCATATTCATTAGCTTTTTATGTCAATTTTAGCATATTGATAGCAATATGTTAGGATATTTTATGCTAACTTGTCATTTTTTTTCTTCTTGTCAAATTTTCACCTTTATGTAATTAGGGACTATTTTTTATTTCTGCCTTTTGTTAGGTTTGAACATTTTTGCTAAAATCTTTTTCTGCCATAGTTTCTTCCTATTAACACATTATTTTTAAAGGTCACTATTTATCTTTTGGCTAATTAAAAAAGCTATTTAAGCTTTATGTGGATGCTTGGATCTCATCTTTTGCCAGTTGTTTTTATTTGTTAATTGTTTTGCTGTTTTTATTGTAGTTTTTAGCATCTGTGCGTATACAACCCGAAAAACATCAGAAAAGCTGTAGAAATCTGACCAAACTTGTTAGCTTGGACCTAATGACAGATCCACTAAATCATCAGGTTGAAATGCAGTGCAGTTTAATGACAGTTACTAATGTCAGTTCTCAGTCTTTTTACATCATTAAATCCTATAATTAAAAGAAAAGAAAAAAAGACATTTGGACACCACTGTTTTGGAAGTAAATAAAACGATCAAGAGAGAGTCTGGATATAAAACGGTTAGTTAGAAAATTCCTCTGTAGGTTCGGTGTGATGAGCGTGTGATGCAACACCGCCTCCCTGCTATAATCCAATAGGTATGTGTGTAAATCCATTTTCCTATGGCAGCCTATTGATTGTGTGTCTTAAAACAAAGTCAAATATTCACTTTGCTCCACTTTGAAAGGGGCTAAAGCAGATTATGCTCCCTTACATCACATTGCATTGTCTGCAGAACTGATTCATTCCGTATCTTTAGCAGCGACGCTGAAGCAATGAAAGCTGATATTCTCTTTGTCACACTCCCGAACGAGCGTGCACCAGTGTTGTCATGCTAATTTAGTTAGACCTTCTTCCCTGGCTCACACAAATGGATGGATGCTGCGCGAGATGATTCAGCATTGCTGCTGCGGGAGCCACAGTGCAAATCCTCCGCTCCCCATCCCCCACTGAACAACAGGATGCTTCTTGGCTTTATTGAAGTTAGCCGCTGTGGATTTCTGCGCTGGCTTCAATAAAGACATAATTGTGAATGGAGGCCGAGTGGAAACGACACTGGGCGGCAGTTTTAACTCACTTTCAACACTTCCACGGTATTAAAGGTCGCTGAAAAAGTGCAGCTTTGCAAGTCCCTCTGTTATTGTGACCCATTTGGGCTGTAATGTGGTGCCACTGAACATTAATAAACAAGCTGACATTTTAGATAAACACCGTGAGGCACAAATGTCAGCTTGTTTTGTGGCTTCATAACTCTCAGCGCTACTTTAATCTCACATCTGGTTGAAATTCTTCAGGCATTTTATTCCCAGGAAGTGTTTGTTTTATTTTTTCCCCGTGGGCTTCAGACCCGTCTCTTTTACAAACATCTGTCCGATGTGTCCAACGCGCTTTAGGATTTATACGCCTGGTCACCTAGCGTGTGATTTGCTGTCAGCTTGTCAATCAAAGTTGCATTGCGAGGGAGGAATTAAAGACCCCTATCCGGCAGATGCCGTCTACGACGTAAATGCAGTTGCACAAAACCATAATACTATTTTATACTGAAGGTTTAATAGACCTGTTACATATTCCACCTCTCTCCCAATGCATCAAAATGTATTTGATTGTACACATATTCAGGAACCAATAAAAACAGACAAAAAAAAATAAAAAACAAGATGCTGGAAGAGAGGCGAAGATGAAAAAGAATAAGGAATGAGCAGATCATAGACGCGGCTAAGTTTGTGAAGTCTGAGGATAAAGTTAGAGAAGCAAGGTTAAGATGGTTCAGACATGTGCTGTGGAGAGATAGGAGACACATGGGACAGAAAGGACAAGCTGGAGAAGGAGCTGCCAGGAAGGAGGAAAAGAGAAGTTTCATGGATGGAGTGAAGGAGGAGACGGAGACGAAGAGTGTAAAGTAGAAGGAAAAGGGAAAAGAGGAAACGGAAGAGGAAGAAGAGGCAAAAAGGTGTTGAAAGAAGAATTATAGACATGGGAGGAAAATGTAACGAGGAGGAGGAAAGGAAGGAAGGAAGAAAGAACGAACGAGACAAATCGTAAGGAGGGGAGAAGGGAGGAGAGGATGAGGAGAAAGAAAGTTTAAAGGGGAAGTCAATATTAATGGTGGAGTCGATACAAATATATAAGAGAAGAACAAAAGAAGTTCAGTCAACATGAAAGGAAAGAGAAAAAGATGAGGAAAATAGGAAACAAAGGAAAGAAGGAAACGTGGGCTGATTGAAAAAGGTAGAAGAAAAAAATCAGAAAAAAACAAAACATACGATATAAAAAAATAAGCATGTTGATTTGGATGAAAACAGTGAGCAGAGAAGACAGGCGTACAAGAAGCACAATGAGAACATTTTTCCTGAAAAACGACTTAAAACCATGTGGGGAAAAGAATTTTTCCATGAATTACAGCTGACACTGAGACTGACTGACACAGTGGATGGCAGCTGTCAGGCCTTGGCCACACAGGGGAAGCTCAGCTGCTGTGGGTTGTTTCCATGATGACAATGATCAAAGATCAAATCATAATTGTGTCAAATATTTAACTCCGGGGCCATAAAGAAAAAAAAAACACACTTCAGGGAAGAGAAATTCAAGATGTTCTCCGTGAGCCCTGTGTCTTTGAAATGGATTGCCCTGCCATAAAAAATAGAAATATCCTGTCACTCATTAGAGTTTCTCCAGTTAACGCAGAGAGAACTCGGAGTTGACACAAGCTGCAGATTTTTATGATTTTGGTTTTTTTTTTTAGGATGGAGGTGATGTGGTGCAGTGAGGTTTTTTTTTGCAGTAGTCTCTGCTGATGAGACGCCCCAGAGTGTCAGCCTGCCAAGTCTGCTCCTCATACTGATGCAGTCGCTTCATTGTCTTCTGAATAATACACACAGCGGAAAATGAAAAAGAGTGCATTTGAAGTAGAATCTGCAGTAACTGGATGCAGGGAAAAAAAGAAAAAAAAAAAAGATTGTGTTTCTGAAAGATTTGCATCCCAGGAAATCTGCCAGCCTGTATCCATATGAAGGCATTTGGAATAAATAGATAGTGTAGCAGTGTTGTATTTCATCAGAGCGTGCTGTTGACTGCGTACCGTGAGCTCTTTTATGGTGTCATAATTTACTTTCACAGTGTACTCACTTTTACCCCCTTTGCATGCCTCGTCACCTCCCGCTCCGATAGCGATTTCCCCATATTTCCCAGAGTGACTAGAACGGCCCCTTGAGGAGGGGCATGAACTTGTTCAATCCACGGGTTCGTGTTTCACGTGGAGACAGAATGTGATGGTAATTGCAAAGAGCGAGAGTTTGTGCTCCGTAGAGGCAGTTGTTAGTGGAGGAACTGACATCCCTGCTTCAGCGTGACTCCTGAACATCACTACAGCACTGAACATAACAAAAAAAACCTTGATCTTTGTATCCGAGGGAAGAAAAACAAACTCTGACTTTAAATGATGCCGCATGACTTCCTTATCGTCTACTCTGTCTCTGTCTGTTTGAATCGGTACCAAGTTCCTAACGAACCCTGAAGTCCCAATTTATAAGAAACAAAGGAGCCGATCTGGATCAGACATTAGGAGGGTTTCATGTAGGAAGGAAAGGACGGACGGAAGGAAAGAAGAATAGAAGAAAGACTCCATGAAGACGGGAAGGAAGGAAGGAAGAAAAAAGATGGTGATATGGAAAAAAAAGGAAGGGATACAGAGAGGGAGGTAGAAAGGAAGACAGAAAAGGTGGAAAACATGGTTATAGAAAGGAAAGGCAAAGGAAGAAAGAAAAGCATGAAGAGAAAAAGGAATAAGAAGGAATGAGGAAGATGACAAGGAGGACAGAGGAAGGATTGGTTGTAGGATAAAAAATATGAACTAGGGAGGAATTCTGAAGGAAGCAAAAGAAGGAAGATGGTTGAGAGACTTAAGGCAGGAAAAAAAAAGAAGAACAAATGGAAGAGCAGGAAACGAGAAAAGATAAGGAAGAACAAGGGTAACAACAGACAAAGGGTGGAAGAGAGCAGTAAATAAAGGAAGGAAAACAGCAGAAAGTGGAGACAAGTAAAG